GCAAGCGGGTTACACATTCAAACTGATTGGTCCGGGCCCTGTGACAACTGCACAGGGCCCTAGGCTAAATGGCCAGTAGGGCGTTGTTTTAACTATCTCAGGAATTTCAGGTTCTGGGTGTAACAGAGGAACTTAATAATACCTAATCTTTTACATTCAAGCTTTCCAGCTTAGAAACTTTACCCTTTCAGCACCACAAATATATACCATTATTGATTGTCAATTTCAAAAATTAAGATTAAAAAAACTAAATTTTGGATTTGCAACCAACCTCTGTCTCTTTTGTGTCTTGGGGCCTGGTCATGGCCTTGGCAGTGAAGTGCACTCAGCTGCACACCCACAGCTGCAGAAAACCCTGAGGCCTTCTGATTTATCAAGAGTGCTTGCAAGGTCGGCAGGGGCTGGGGCTGGGGCTGGGCCTGACCCTGGCCTGGCCCTGGCTAGGCTAGGCTAGGCTAGGGAGGCCTAGACGGGACAGACCTCTGGGGCTTGTGTTGTAACCGAGGGATGGTGAATTTGCTGGTGGCCACAAGGGTCCGGCCCATCAGCAATCGGGAGGCCAGAGAGGGTGGAAGAATTATTGTAGAAGTTGATGACTAAGTGGAAAAAGATCAGGAATTTAAAGGTGGATGATCCATCGACAAATAGCTTTGGAGACTCCTGGGAGAAGGTCCYGGCATTCAGCTTTGATTATTGCTACTGGTCAGTCAACCCAGAGGACCCTCAGTGTGCATCTCAGGATGTGGTGTTTCCGGGGACGGAAGTACCCTCTGGAGCTGCTAGAGGCTACAACACCGGCCTTTTTGCTTAAGGGCAGACCGGCTCTGGGAAGACATACCCCATGCTGGGGACCCCAGCCTCTGTTGGGCTGACACCATGGATGTGTGAGGGTCTCTTCACCAAGGAAGAAGACCCTGATCATCGCCTCCTTCCTGTAGGATAAAAGTAAGAGTCACCAGAGGGATGGAGAGAAGCCCCAGAAGACGCAGCTTGCGGAAAGGGAGATGAGAAACAGTTTCTTAGGTCGCAGGACACTCAATTCCCTACCCTTGGACCTAATGAGCCATGTCCCCTTCTGTGGCCCAGCTGACCCTGGCTAACTCGTCCCCCTTTCCTTCACATCCCAAAGTTTAATACTAGATTTTGAGATTTCTTTTTCTAATCCTTTACTGGGTGATTTTGTAGGGAAATGGTTCTCAAACTCCAGTACCTCTTCCATGTTCAATGTCCTTTCTAAATATATATATTGTAGTTGGGCACAATATCTTTATTTTATTTTTGTATTTTTATGAGGTGCTGAGGATCAAACCCAGCGCCTCACACGTGCTAGGCAAGCGCTCTAACACTGAGCCTCAGCCCCAGCCCCTAAAAAAAATCAAGATGCAATTCACCTACCATAAAATGCCAGTACTACAAAATTTTGAAGTATATAGTTTAGTGATTTTTACAATATTTCCAAGATTATACAAGCATGACCACTGATTCTAGAACATTTCCATCATCCCCCAAAGAAAAAATACTTTCTTAAAAATTAAGTGATTATAAAAGAAATTTTTTAAAATTATGAGTGTATGAAATAAAAATATACAAATCTTAAAAAAATAAAAGAATGCCTGCAAACCTGGATTTATTTCTGTGAAACATCCTGAATTCTCTTTCTTTTGGTGCTGGGGACTGAACCCAGGGCCTTGCACATGCTAAGCACACACTCTGCACTGACCCTTGAACATCCTGATTTGGAAACGTTGACAATTTAAAAGCTTTGAAGGATTTCCAGGTCCCACGTCTCCTGATGGGCCACCAGTGTGACTCCTGTTTAGACAGCCTCATTCTGCTTGGGGGGGTGTGAGCAGGGGACAGCGTGTCCAGGGGGACAGCAGGGAGGAGAGAGGCCCTGCCCTGGTGCTGGGTTTCCTCTGGGCATGGCAGGAAGCAGCTGGAGCCCGCTATGAACAGGGGGCTCCTGGGGCATGACAGGAGTCCTGGGGTTGGCTAGCAGCTGGGGACCACAGCATGTCAGCGCTGGAGGAAGTTCCTGAGGTCACAGACGTGCTGGCCCATGCTCCCCACAAGGGGTTTCCTCCCGGGACCACGCGAGGCTCTCGGAGCCCTTGCACACGCCTCCCAGCACCATCAGGGGCTTGTTAAATGTGCATCCTGGGTCCAGCTCCCAGCAGGATTGCGTCCTTTGATCTAGGGGGAGCCAGGAGTCAGGAACAGAACCCCTGGAGTTGTGACACAGGCTTGGGCGAACGACTCAGGTTTCGCCTCACCCAAACTCAGTGTCACTTCTATTAAAGGGGGATAATTCAATCTCCAAACCTTACGCAGAGGGAGCCTGGACAGTGCTCAAGAAAGCGGTGCCACTCCAGGGAGCCTCGGAGTTAGGATTCGGGATGCGAACACTCTGTCCCCATCCAGGATTCGAACTTGCGAAAAGCATCGCGCCTCCCTGATGTCAGACAGTCTCCTCTGAAGAGTGGCCCCTCGCCCGCAGCCCCGTCCACCACAGCGTGCTGATTTGCATATTAGTATAGCCCCGCCCTCCCTCTCCTTTCCCGTTCACGGGTGGCCAGCGGCGGTGCCACTCAGCGTTCGGGGCCCCTCCCCGCTCTCCTGGGCGCAGCCTACCCCGCTGCCGGCCCCAGGCCCCGCCCCCGGCTCCTGCCTCCGCCGCCCCGGTCTGCGATTGGTCGCTCCGGGGCGCCGGCCCCGCCCCCCGCGCTCAGGGCCCGCCCCGTGGAGGGAGCGAGCGCTCCCCGGCCGGCACAGCGGGTTCGGCTGCGCGGCGGGCTGAGGCGGCCGCGGGCCAGATCGCAGGTAAGGGCGTTTGCTCGTCGGCTAGCGGACGGCTCCGGGCTGCTCGCGGGCGGAGCTGGGGGTCGGGTCGGCTGAGGGGGGGCTGGGGCTGGGGCTGGGGATTGGGCCTGCAACTGGGGGCTGGAGCCGAGCGCGGGGTTGGCTGGGGAAAAGGGCTGCATTGAGGGTCGAGCTCATCTGGGGAGGGGGCTGGAATTGGGAGTCGGAACTTTGGGTGGGGGTCGAGGTTAGCTGGAGAGGAGGGTGGAGTTCGGGACTGGGGCTGGAGGTGGGGTGCGTGGTTAGCTGGGGAGGGGGCCAGAGTTGGGGGCTGGGACTGTGGTTGGGGGTCGAGGTTAGCTGGGGGAGGAGGCTGGGGTTGGGGGTCAGGCCTGCCATCGTGGGTGATTTGAGGTGGGGAGGGGGCTGGAGTTGGAGGTCAAGGTTAGATGGGGAGGATGCTGAAAGGTGGCTGGAGTTGGTAGAGGTAAGCTGCGGAGGGGCTGGCTCTGGAATTGGGGTGTAGGGTTAGCTGAGGAGGGGTCAGCCTTGGCAAGGACTGAGACAGGGTAGAGAGACCACTGCAGTTGGAGGTCAGGTTTAGGGGGAGGTGATGGAGTTGGGGTTGAGGTCAGCGGGAGGGGGGCTGGGTGGGAGTGGGTTTAGAGGTCTGGGGTAGCTGGAAGGAGGCTAAGGATGGAGTTGGGGGCCAGGTCAGCTGGGGAGGGCACTGGGATGAAGTTTGAAGGGGGGCTCAGAGGAAGTTGGGTTAGCTGAGGAGGGGGCTGCCAACGGGCTGGGGAAGGTGGGAGGGGAGCAAGTTGGCAGAGAGGGATGATTGAGGATTGTGTTTAGGGCTAACTGAAGGGGACAAGGACAAAGTCAGGACAGGAAGAGGCTGAGGGATGGAAGGGGATCGGCTGTGCCACGGGGGTCCAGGGAACCTCAGGGTGAGTGGAGAGCTTATGTGGGGGTGGGGTCCGGGAGGAGGAGTCAGGGTGGGTGATGAGAAGGGAGGTGGAGGAAGAGGAAGGGCCCTGGGCTGGGAGGCCTGGGGGTGTGTCTGGCCTGAGGTTGACCAGTTAGCAGGAGCTGGGATGGTCTCGGTTTGAATCCACTGCAAGGATTTGGAGAGGAATTGCCTCCTGTTGGGTCAGAGGAGCTGATTATTTGGTGAGAGACCACGAGGGGTGAAGCCCCTCTGGAACAGTGTGCTGGTCCACTGCTCCGTCTGTTTCTAGGGTGGAGGGTGCCAAGGGACAAGTCTTAGGGTGCATGAAGCTCATGTGGATGATTGAATTTTTCAGGAACTGCAGTGGGAGTTTTGGGGACGATGACATTGAGGGACGTGGGTGGCACTTTGTTTTTCCCGGGTAGCGGGGGTTGCTCGGGGCTGAGGTGGGCGGCTGAAGACAGGTGCGATGAACTGTAGCAGCAGGTCCCCAGCTCAGTCTGTAGACTGTTGCTAGGTGTCCTCGAGGCAAATGGCAAGTTCACTAACTTGTGTGTGTGCGCGTGTGCTGCTGTGGTCCTGCGGTGACGGCGTCAGGGGCTCTGGGAAAGGGCCTGTGTTCCCTCGTGGTGCCACCTCACCTAGGGGGCATGAGGAAGGCGGTAGCAGGTGACGTGCAGGGTTGCTGCAGGGACCCGGCGAGGGAATGCAGGAGGGAATCCCTGCTGGTGGCACAGTGAGGGTGTGCGGAGCGCGGCGCAGAGCAGAATGTTCTAAATTGAGTTTCCCCTGGAGGGGGAGGTGGGTGGGAGAATGATGGGGTTGTCAGAGGAGGGAAAAGAAAGAATGGCAGTTTGACTCCGTCACCCTCATGGGGGGTGCATGTGAGAGTCACCCCAGGACCTCAGAAAGCACCCAGAGGCACAAGACAGACAGCCAGTTATCAAAAGGAGGAAGGAGCCAAGTGGGAGGTCAGCTGTCGAGTGCCTCCCAGGGCTCGCGTGGCCAGGAGCAAGCGTCGGCCACAGAAGGCCTGGGTGGTCCCGATGCAGGCTCCCCAAGGCCACCGAGCCCCTGAAACACACCTGGACTCGCGCTCACAGGACACCTGCGGGCTTCGCAGCCTCCGCGTCCTGGACACGGGGGTCTTTCCTTCTGGGGAGTGGGTGGGCCTGGGCCCTGCAGGGGGCAGAGCAGCTGTCCTGCSTCCTCCCACTCCAGGGCAGGACTCTCAGTGTGACACCACACTGTCCCCAGACATGGCCTCCCGGCCCTTGGGCAGAGCCACCGCGGCTGAGAGCCGTTCTCAGGACAGAACTAGCTTTACTCCCACGTGGAGACCCCTCGCTCCCTCCGTGCCGGGGAACGTCCCCTGGTTCTGGGTGCTGTCACTTCAGAGGAGGACACACCAGAGTGCTTGGAGGAGCTTGGACCTCCTCCTAGGTGGCTCTGTGTGGCCTTTGGACCCTTACTGATGGACTAACTGACCAGCCGCGAGCGCTAAAGGACGTCCACATTTACAGCTGGTCCCCTTAGCCTCCCCTTGGCCTCCTCTTGGTCTCCCCTTGGCCTCCCCTTGG